GTTCTTTGAATCCACATCGAAGCAACTAGGAGTGGCTTCAGAAAAAAGCTTTGAAGTGGTTTATGGTCAGACAGTACTGACTCTTTTTCTTTTCCAAAAAGTATTGATGAAAATGTTCACAACTGAAGACAATAGCCAGGCACTCTTTCTCTATCTGAGAGTAGCATTGTGCTATTTGTGTTAACACCCTGCATCCAAATGCAAGCCATTGTCCTTGCTCCATTAGGGTTGCTCCGATTTCTGTCTTACTGGGATCACACTGCAGGGTGACTTCCATCATTTGCCACATAGTATTTCAGCACTGGCATTGCCCTTACTCCTTGTTTGATTTTACTGGCACTGCTTTTGCTCTGTGCTCCAGTATAGCTGCATCTCACTGTGAGTAAGTGTAATGGTTCACACTCCGGCAACAAATTGGTAACAGTTTTGCTAAATAGTTGACTAATTTAAAAATTCATTACATTGCTTTTACATCTACTGATCACTGCTTAGGGATTTGGGCAAAGACCTTTTCCTGTCTGTCCATGGGCTATATACTTGACTTCAGGCAATGTTAGTTTCAACTTTTCATTCTTCGGGTTCACTCTGCACCATGGCTATCTTGCAGTTGTGCTTAATTTTGATTGTGGTCAGCAATGGCTTCTTCTATTGTCTATCTGTACCCATAAACTAGCTGATCATCCACTAATGCTTCCACTGTGGGAAGATCATTAACTATCTCATGTTGTTTGTGTTAATGTTCCCAATGCAGCTGTGAATATGTCAAACAGACTGTGCAAACATCTGCACCTTAGGAAGGGTGTCCAGAATATAGTTTTGAAAGCTGTTGCTTTCATCCAGCTTCATTTGCCAGCAACTGTTATTTGCATCTGTAGTAGTGAAGATTTTGCCTTTGCAAATTGTGGTAAAATCCCTATTATAACTGGCATGGAGAAGTCAAATCTCTTCTGACCTTCATTTCGATCGTTGAGTGTTGAAGAGCTGGGAAAAAAAAAACAGTTACTGACCGAAAGACACAGGAATGTTCAGACCAGTGAAAACTGCTACAGACACCTGAAAAAGAGCTTGGAAGTGAGCCACACGTGAAATACTGGGTTAGTGTAAATGGCTGCAACATTTCCTCTCCCAACTCCAGCCAAAGTGAAAGCTGATATAAAACAGAACTGACCATTTTTCCACATGAAATGTCAAAATTACAAAATGGTGACAGATTTGCTTAAAAAACTGAGTAGCTTCATTCATCGTTGGACAGAGACTGTTTAAAAGTGCATTCCACTCTAAATTTCTGTGAAAAACAGAAGGAACAAACTGCAGAAATTTTGAAACCCAAGTGAACATAACTTATGAACAGCATGTGTTCAATATTAGGGTCCAAGGTGAAAAGTGATTTCATTGATCATTATGTGGCTTTATTAACTTAGCTCTCAGAATCCTGTGAATTTGTGCAAGTAAAAGACAATGTAATTTAAGACAGGATTGTACAAGGCATAAATAATCCTGCAGTGAGAGCTTGTCTTCTGACAGAAGAGAAAATTACTTTCAGGAAAGGAATTAACATGTGCAGAAGCACTGAGGTTGTAGGTCATTAGCTAGAGCAAAACACACCAGTTCTTGCATTATGTTGATAGATACTCCAGGTTCATAGGACAGAACAATTGTAATCAAAGGGCAGGATACAAATATTGTGAAGGACATCATGCAAAGAAAAGAAGGGTCTAGCACTGGGAAAGCAGTGTTCTCACTATATGAAGTCAAATCATTCTGCACACAACTGTATGCTAGAAAGAGGTGCAGAAATAAGTACGGATAGCCACTGGAGCAATATCAGCTGAAGATTCTGACGGATTAGTCTGCACCAATCAACCATTTAGTCTGGTCTGCATTCTCGGACTTTATTGGACTGCTTGAGAGATGGCTGCACCATGGTAGATATCACATGATTGTGCCAGGTCAAGATGGCGTTTCTATCCCAAACAACTGCTTACTCACAAAAACGGAAATTGCTGGAGAAACTCACCAAGTCTGCAAGCCTCTATAGAGAGAACACAGAGTTACTGTTTTCAGTCATGTAACCATTCTTCAGAACAGATGTCACCTACTCTTGTACATTCTGAGAAGCAGTTTGTGGATGCAACCTGATTAGAGTTGGTTGTAGAAATCTATAGTCAACCCTGCAGTGTATTAATTCTTCATAAATACTTTCATTCATGTCAGCAGCAGCCTTTGGAAAGTGAATGTTCAAAACGCAGATTTGTTTTGGCATTTAACGTGTACGGAATTCTACTAAGTTCTAATTTCAATCTTCCTAAAAGTGAAATAAGGAACAAAGACTGCTATTTAACACTAATAATCAAGATTATAATCACACATTTAAGAGAGGGATTATATTTTTTTCTTTACTTTATTCATGGGATGTCAATGTTGCTGGTAAAGGCAGCAATTGTTTTCTAACCCTAATTGCCTTGAATTGATTACCTTGCTAGGTTTTTCCAGTTAAGACTCCAGCATGTGGCTGTGGATATGAAGTCACCTTTATGCCAGATTGGATAAGAATGATAGATTTACTTCCCTGAAGGGCATTAGTGAAGAAACTGGGTGTTTTGCAGTAACATTGATGGTTTCATGGCATGATCACTGAGGCTAGCTTTAGATTCCAGATTTATTAAATGAATTTATGTTCCACCTATCCACAGAGCAATCACATGGGCTTCTGGATCTGTGAAATTATCACAGCATCACCTGTGACAATACTATGGCTTTAAGAGGTATATTTTGTCCTTTTTTTAATGTAAAAAAGGTTGAGGCAGAGGTACCAGACCATAGGCTGTTTCCTCATCAGAGAGAGGTGACTGGTGGTAGTTTAACCTGAGGGTCATTATGTCTCAGGTGAGGGGAGAGGTCAAGAAGAAGACACCTTCATGTTGACCTCAGCTGGGGAGGGAATTGAACCCATGCTGTTGTCATTACTCTGTGTCACAAATGAGTCTTCCTGTCAACTGAGCTAACCAACCCCCGATGTTGTTATATTACTATTATTAATAAGTAATTTCTGTTAATTTCTATTATCCAAGTTATTAATATCAAGTATGATATTGTAATGCCCACTCAATTTACACAATTTTGTGACTTTCAAGGCCTGAGTAGACAAAGGAATGCCAGCTGCAATCTGCAGAACTTTGGTTTCTATACTGATTTGGTTTTTTTGCTGAGAGGTTTTGCCTCTGCCTCTGAATGGCAGTTGTGAAGAGTCAAAATGAGCAAGTGCAATTGCAAACAGAGGAAACTGTTTCGAGGTTATTCGGGTAGAAAGCTGAAGCGCTCAAGGATGGAGAGACAATATACAAAACTGATTTTTCACTCCGCAAATTTCAGATCTGGAAGTGCCATCTGTGTGAATGGAAAAGAAATCCTGCCAACTACAGGCTAGGCACTTTCTATAGGGAGGAATGGGAAGTGTAACAGTGGAGTTAATGTGGAACATCCTCTTGTACTTCCTTTGTAGCATGCTCATGAAAGATAAGTCATATTATCTTAGTGGGAAGATGGTGCATTTTCTGGAATGTCGAAAATTCATATCCAGAATAAATAAACAGAAAAGAAATGTTATTTTAAGATTTTATTGGTCCTTTCCTTCCACTGAATCAGATGCATCTGACCAAATCTAAAGTGATGGAGTTGTATTCATTTCAATGAAATGAATCAGTAATAAGTTTTATAATGAGTGGCTACTGTTTAACTACCATGGAAAAACAGACGATGATCGCTTATGCTCAAAATTTTAGAGATTTCATCTAATGTTGCATTGCATTCGTGGGTGGAATTCCCCCTGGTTTAATTAAAGAATAATTTCCTAACCCAGAATTAATAAATATTTTAGAAAAATAGAAGCATGTCTCTGGGTAACTAATTATTTTACAGAGAGTTGCCCCAGTGCTGATCTTCCTGTTTAAAATTTTTATTTTGTTCTCAAGATGCAACCAACGTAATGACAATGTATTTGCAGCTTTAATTTCCCTGCAGCATTTAGTTATCTTTCAAATGTAACTTGAATCTTACTTTGAGCACAAATTAATTTTGATACTTAAATGTTTGTCACGGTAAAGTAATTGGTAAAAATAAATCACTACTATTGATGGGTAAATGCACACAATGAACAAGTAAGAATGTCTGGAAACATTTAGAATTCAAATTCTGATTTTTAGAATGTGCAGATTCTAATTCCAATTTGGTAAAGAAATCATTCTGTATCTTACATAACTAATTACTACCTCTTTATGTACTCTGTACAATATGCGTTCAAGTGCTTTATTCAGATTGGAGTCACTGGATCCCAGTGCGTTTATCAGGAGACAACTGTAGAAATCCGAGGTCATCAACATTCTGTGCATCTCATCAACTTCCTCGATGTTCTGACAAGGATGTGCATTATTGTCCATTGCTGTGTATATCACACTAACAAAAATCTCTGCAGTGGGAGCTGACACCGCCTTCTAGAAGATGGGATGTTGGATACTCAGTTGTCTGTCACTTGGGGTGTGTCACTATAACAAAGTTAAAATTCTTTTGAGCTTTTATGTATGTGAGTGGCGAATCAATTCATTTCATGGATGAGTGTGGGTCTCCTATGCAGGCAGCCAGTGTTTTAATCAATGTTGAGTGACCATCCAAATTTGCCTTGCCCTAACAGACTGGGGGCTGAATTTTCCTTTTTGCAGTTGACGTGTGGTGGCTAGTGAGTTTTGTGTTGTCAACTCCATCTTGGCCTGTAGCAAGCTATTGTACTTGATCTCCCATTAAATCATCGTTGCAATTCAGTTAATGAGAATTGGATTATTAATTATGCAAGCAGTAAGTTGAGAGTTGGAAGTGCTCACCACTGCCTGGAACTAATAATTCGCATACCATTGGCGCCATATTTAAAGTCTACTTGCATACCATTTCAGATGCTGCATCTGGGAACTGCCCCCTTACTATGGTGCATAGCTTTAAATTCTGCCCAGATGTTGCAGAAGAAAGCCAGGCTTGCTGCCTGCTTCCTGGAGCAAGATCTTGTGGCACTTGTGGACAGGTTGGTGGAAGGTCTGTTTATTTTCCAGCTGACTGCAGCAAGAGACTCAGCTCTGATGGAGATGGCAGCACAGATCAGTGTTGTGTCCCGAATGAACAGTGAGGGCTAGCAGTGCTACTGCCAAAAGGTCAGTGATCTCCTACACTCAACATGGGTAAGTAGCACTATCTTCTCTGTGTTACTTCACATTCACAGGGGCATCACAGACCCTAACACTTCCAATTCATACACCTTCCACCAAGGCTGATGGATAACAGCTCATTATTACATCCGTCATGACCACTGAAGGGCTCTCACCCACCTCATCCTTCCAAACTACTAACTGTTCCTGCCCTTTGTACTTACTGTTCACTCACTGGGGGCATCTCCCCACCTCTGCTCCACTAACTGCTCTCCCATCCACTTCGCTCATAGTCAACCTCTTTCTTTCATAGAACCTTACGGTACTGAAGAAGCCCCTTGGCCTGTTGTGTCTGCACCAACAATAAAGCTATTCTAAATGTATACTAGGCCCACGATATAGCACTTGGCTCATTTCCATGCATGTTAGGCCACTTCAAGTGCTCATCCAAGCACTTTTTAAAGGTTGTGAGTTTTCCCATATTAACTACTGTCTCAGGCAGTGCATTCCAGACTTCCACCACCCTCTGGGTGAAAAAGTGTTTCCGCAAATCTGCCTTCACCTTAAAAGTGTGTTCCTTTGATATTGACCCTTCAACTAAGGGGAATAGCTATGTTCTATCAACCCCATACATACCGTCAATCAGGTCCCCCTTCAGCCTTCTCTACTCCCAAAAAACAACCTGAGCCTATCCAGCCTCTCTTCTTAGCTAAATTGTTCCATCCCAGGTAACATCCTGGTGAATCTCTTCTACATTTCCTCCCCTGCAAACACATCATTCCTATGGCGTGGTGACCAGAACCGCACATGGCCCTCCAACTGTGGCCTAACAAACATAAGCTCCCTCCTCTTATAATCTATGCCAAGACTGATAAAGGCAATTATCTCATGTGCCTCCCTCACCAATCGGTTCTTAACTCCTTGATTGTGGCAGGGTAAATGTGCGCACAACTTGGCTGGTGGGAGTGTGGGAGACATTGGGCTCTTCACTTCATATGAGAAGAAGATATAAAGGGCCAGGGAAGACCAGGACTGCTCATGTGCTGACTGAGACTCACCATGGGCCCACTAACCCAGCAGGCCTTGGTTTTCTAGGCCCCCCAGTTGATCACCTGACTGAAGTGCACGCTCTCTCCACCCCAGCAATGGAATTCAGGACTGTACTTAGATGTAGTGGGAGGGATATGCAAGCCTGTGGCTTTAACGTGTCTTGAGCTATGATTAGAAGGTGTAGTCCATGTCTCGCAGCAACCATCAGTGTATGGGTTAAGCACCTTGGAATGAGACCAGCGTCACTGAGGACTGTAGTATGTGTGTGTCGTGGCAGCTCCCAAGTTATCTGGCACAGAAAATTTGGCTGTGATGGTAAAAGTTATTTAAACATTAAGGGAAGAGGAAGTGGGCTCTGCTGAACATAACATAAGTGATCCCCACTTGGGTGTACTTATGGGAAATGCCACAGAGGTCCCCAGTTGCTCCCTGAAATGAGCCGCTAGCTTAAAAGTTAAAGGCAGCTATGGTTTTGGCGGCCACTGGGATAGGATTTCTGCCCAGTCTTTGTTATCAAAAGCCCCTCTCCAGCAACTGATCTCTTATACAATGAAGCAGGACATCTTTAATCATCACCAGCATTGTTGAAGATAACTGCATGAAGCCTATACACTGTGGATTGAACCATTTCCCTGTGCCTCCTTGGTGGACTGTGACCTGCTGTGTCTCTAAGTGGAGCTCCATTGTACAGAGCTGTGAGGTATGTGACCTTCTGCAGTTTCATGGTGGATAGCCAAAGTGTCTGTACTCCTTCGGAATTAGAATTGTGCCAGTAAGCCACCATAAAGTGAAAGGCCTCATCCTCCCTTCCACATCACAGCCTGTGTCCTTGTGTCCCTATTTTTCACTGTGAGGTTATAACAGCTGCACTGTCTTTCCAGAACTCGGTGTGGGATACCCTTGCCAATTGGGAACTTCAGATTCTGCTTTTAAGTTCCTTGCTACCATAAGACTTGTTGAGCTTGCATGATAAGGAGGAAGTTAGTGGGCACACTGTACGCTCACAATTGCTTGAGGTCTTTGATAGTTACTGACCTCCATGCAACTTTAGAATTGAGGCAGATGGGTGACATTGCCCCATCAGTGGAGGCATCATTGCTACAATTGTCCCATACAGCGTCTCAAAATCAATGTTTGTAACTTTGCCCCATATAACTTACCTCTCATGCTTTGCATGCAGTTGCAGCCATTCTCTGAAGTTATTGTGAAGTGACTTTCTATCTGAGGTTCTAATTTGTATTCGCCTGATGATTTGCAGGCTCTCCCTGTGGCAGACTGAATTTTCCTGCTCCGTTTTCTGTTGCTGTCCCTGTGATGATCTGTCCACCTTCCCATCCCTCCCAATTCCAGTCGATCCCCTTTACATCAGTATTCATATATGTGCTTTAGAACCAGCATATGACTTTGGAAATCCCTTTGTCCTTCTCTGCAGTACAACATCCCCGTGTAGAAGTCAGAACTCTAGTCCTCGCTTTCACTGAGGTCTAATCCTATGTGCAGTTTCCGCCTATCACTGTGACCCATACCCTCAACAAGCCAGTAGAATGAAGCCCATCCGTAGACATGAGTTTCTTCCTTTTCTTCCTTTGGCCATGGCATCTGCTAAGCCTGCTGCCTAATATTGACCAACGCATTCCCCCCAGCTCCCAATGACTAGCTTGGTAACAGCCCCAGCTAACGATGACCCACCCTGGACCAATGTCTGTACAACATCCTGACTGACTGACCTATAATGCCCTGACTGCTTCCACTTGCCCCTGTGACTGACCATGTTCCAATCCTGATTGACTGTAGCCCCCACTAAGGACCACCTCCCCTTTGACTGTCACACATCACCTGACCCATGGAACAGTGACATGTCCAGCCCCTTGTCTGATACCACTACCTGCCTGCCTCTCCCTGGGAAACTGTAAAATCAGCTAACCCACAGGGACAGGTGGTGTATAATTCAGCACTAAAAGCTTACTGCACTGAAAAAACAAGCTAATCCACAAAGGCTGTATGCTTCTAAGTAACTGCTAATGACATTATGCTCTAAAATGCAAGCTGAACGCAGAATATTCCTGGATCCATGTCAGTGCTGAAAATCCTACATCGATAGATAGGATTACTGCAAATTATTGCAGAGGCTGGAATCTGTACTGAAAACAAAAATGCTGGAAATCAAGGTGCATGCTTGGCCTGCTGTGTTCATCCAGCTCTGCACCTTGTTGTCTCGGATTCTCCAGCATCTGCAGTTCCTACTATCTCTGTTGGAAATCAAGGCAGGTCAGGCAGCATCCATAAAGAGAGAAAGCAGGCTAATGTTTTGAGTCTTAGTGACACTTCATCAGAGCTGATAGATAAGATGCTTGGCCATCCCTCAGTTCCATATTACAGGCTTGAAACCCTGGAGTAGTGGCTGAGTTGGACCGAGAGGAAGTTTGGTGCTTTGCTGATGCCGAATTTAGACAATGCAGGATCCAGGAAGAGTGTGGCCATTGACCATAAGAACAGAAGTAGGCCATTCAGCGGTTCGAGCCTGTTTCACCATTCAGCAAACTGTGGCCCAACTCTATATACCTGCCTTTGGCCCGTACCTTAACGAAACTTTACCTGTCTCGGGTAGATGGTAGATTTTCTTACATAGAGGACATTAGTGAACCAAATGGGTTTTTACAGCATTTGATAATAGTCATGATAGTCACCTTTAGAGAGACTAGCTTTATATTCCTGATTTACTATTTGCATTTAAATTCGATAATCTAGGGTTTGAAACTATATCACAGGAGCACTAGCTGGAGTCTCTGGATTACTGGACAAGTCAGATCCCAGAGTTTTAATAGTTTTTCTTCAATTTAACATGGTGCTGTTTCTTTTAAACATAAGCATACATGGCTATATGTGGAGTATAAATTGGGAACAGATGTTTTCAGGGAAATGCACGACAGAAATGTGGAGATTGTTTAGGGAGCACTTGTTATGAGCACTGGATAGGTTTGTCCAACTGAGGCAAAGAACAGATAGTAAGGTGAAGGAACCTTGGATGACAAGACATGTGGAACATCTAGTCAAGAGGAAGAAGGAAGCTTACTTAAGGTTGAGGAAACAAGGATTGGACAGGGCTCTAGAGGGCTACAAGGCAGCCAGGATGGAACTGAAGAATGGACATAGGAGAGCTAGTACGGGGTATGAAAAATCCTTGGCGGGTAGGATTAAGGAAAACCCCAATGTGTTCTATACTTATGTGAAGAACAAGAGGATGGTCAGAGTGAAGGTAGGGCCAATCAGGGATAGTGGAGGGAACTTGTGTGTGAATTGGAGGGGGTAGGGGAGGTCCTTAATAAATACTTTGCTTCAGTATTCACCAGTGAGAGGGACCTTGACATTTGTGAGGGCAGCGTGAAACAGGCTGATATGCTCGAACAGGTTGATGCTAGGAAAGAGGATGTGCTAGAAATTTTGAAAATCATGAAGATAGATAAGTCCCCTGGGCCAGATGGGATATAACCAAGGTTTCTATGGGACGTGAGGGAAGAGATTGCTGCGCCTTTGGCGATGGTCTTTGCATCCTCACTGTCCACTGGAGTAGTGGATGATTGGAGGGTGGGAAATGTTATTCTCTTGTTCAAGAAAGGGAATAGGGATAATCCTGGGAATTACAGACCAGTCAGTCTTGCTTCTGTGGTGGGCAAATTATTGGAGAGGATTCTGATAGATAGTATTGATGATTATTTGGAAAAGCACAGTTTGATTAGAAATAGTCAACATGGCTTTGTGAGGGGCAGGTCATGCCTCACAAGCCTTATTGAATTTTTTGAGGATGTGACAAAACACATTGATGAAGGTAGAGCAGTGGATGTAGTGTATATGGATTTTAGCAAGGCATTTGATAAGGTTCCACATGGTAGGCTCATTCAGAAAGTAAGGAGGCATGGGATTCAGGGA